GTCATTCAGTTGTAGCCATGACTAATTTACCTGCCGAATATTGGTTTGGTGAGTTATCCCACACCTTATTTCAGAAACCGCTCAATCAATCATGAACTAGGCAGTAAGTCGTTCAGTAATTCATTTAGTATTGACTTATTTGCCAACCTGTGTTCAATGGACTATTCTAATACCTTACAACAACAACTCATTCACCAACTATTCAGTGAGTAAGTTAGTCTTTTAGTAATGACTTGTTTGCCTTCCGAGGTAATGTTCGGTGAACTAATACGTTATTTACCAGGGGCGTCATTTGGGGGGGGGGGGCAGGGGGGGGGCATTCGCCCCCCTGGTTCCTGGGCTAGAGAAAAAAAATGCTGTACAGTACTAGCTAATATACAAATATTTTCTCCTGTCAAATCCTAAAAAGCACGGCAAACAAAAATCTTGCCTATTCTTCAACAGTAATTTAAAACAAAAATATAATTATTTAGTGTCTCAGTAGCACATTCTTGAATTGTGTCAAATTATTTTATTGATAATAACATTTGATTTGCTTTTAAGTAGGCCTACTTAAATACTTGTGTTTTTTTTAACCAAATCAAATTGTTATAAACTATAGGCTATGAATACAACCGTATTCATTGCTATAGGTCTAAATGTTATACAAGATAATTTGGTCATAAATCTAATAACAAAAATAATATTAATACACCATGAAACTATTGATCACGTTTTTTAGATGACTAACTTACCAACATATTATGTTTTTGTCCGTTGTCAATAACTGTTAGTTTCATTAATTTTCTGCCTAAAATTAAATAAATTTTACTCATAATTTTGTTTTTATTCTAAGTGCTTTTGTCAATTTAAATAAGCTTAAACCCCTCTCTTTTTATGGAGAGGACCCCCGGAACCCCCCCTGTTTGCTGGGGGGTAGGCCTATTCCGTACCCCCCAGTGTTTGCCCCCCCCAAGGATTTGGTGAAATGACGCCACTGTTATTTACACTACAACAGCTCAGTCAGTCATCGACCTAAGCAAGTTAGTCATTCAGTTCTGTCAGCTGTGCTGCGGCTAGCATAAGTTCTGACGTCCACCGCTAGGAGTGTCGTGTAGTTACGGCGCAGACCGATGCAGCGTCCGCTTGTCGCATACGGCTCCTGCGCTCGTCGCCTGAAGCGGCGTGCGCCGTAACTACACGGCACTCCTAACGGTGGACGCCAGAACCTTCATTCTACAGTCTATTTATTCTATTTGTCTATGGTTCTAGTCATGACTTATTTACCTCTCGGAGCTCAGTTTCGTGAGCTTGTCTGGCGTGTTTTCTCTTCTCCCGTTCCAGCATCAACCTCTCCTCTGCAATCTTGTTCTTTATCACCTGCTCTTTTATTTTCAAGTTTTTAATCTTTTCTTCTTCCTTCTCTTTTTCTAACACTGAGAAAAGTTTGTAAATATTATTACTCAGAGTACATATGAAAATGCTAACAGTAAATTTGTGGTTAACTTAGTTCAAGGTTAGTGAAAGTCATGTGACAAATTTAAACTTGTTGCCCCTTTGACTAACATTTTTTTATATTTTTAAAAGGGCACTTTGTGTTTATACTTTATGCTTTTGTTTTTCCGTGTATGCATAAAATAACTTATCCTAACAATCTATTCTAGGTTAACTTTAAACAGTGAGTTGGGGTTTTCGTAATTTTAAACTTTTTCATCATTGCTTTAATAGTATTTGTTAAATAGTATCCATGTGAACTCAATTATATATATGTAACATAAACTATAAATACAGGGTATTTACTCAGGGGAGGTACGGAAGAGGCTACGATGACAGCTGTGGGCTTCTTATTAGCTGAGGGAACGCTATTACCGTAAAAATACGATTTGTGGACAACGGCTTCGGTGGTCTAGTAGTTAGCGTGCCGGGCTGGCGTGCAAGAGGTCCCGGGTTCGAATCTTGCTGGTTGCATTAACTTTTTGTCTCAGATTTTTCCATTATCAGCAAGTTTGGTTGGTTTGGTTCGGTTATGACAGTTTAATTTTATTATTAAGTCTTTAATTGAGCAATTTCTAGTTTTATTTAATAAACATAATTATTTTTTCTATTACTAATCTTTTTATATTATTTAATTATCAGCAAGTTTGGTTAGTTCGGTTAGGTTATGATAGTTTAATTTTATAATTAAAAAATTATAAAATTGAATTTGAGGCATTTATAATTTTATTTTATGAACAGAACTGTTTTTGCGAATAGTAAACCTTCATTGACAAAGTGCTCTCTACTACAGCGCTGTTCGCGGAGGAATTTTGAACTAAATGCCTCATTCGTACCTCCCCTAAGTCAGACCCTTACAGTATCAACATAAAAGAGTACTTTAGTGATCTGGCCAAAAATTACTCAACTACAAAATAAAATTGTATCTTTTATGACAAAAGCAATTTTATTTAGGTAAATTATGTAATAATTTCTTCCAAAAAATAACCTACACCCTCTTTAAAATGTCATAAATAAGTCAACTGAACGCAAATATTTACAAAACTATTATGTAGTACTTTACTTTGCTCAGCCGCTCTTCCGCTTTCGTCCCACGACTCCTTGATTCTTGGCATATAATGCGAGTAGAGGCGACCAAGCAGAAATACTAGGATGAAAACCCACATTTTGAATGCTAAAAGCTTTGGGTACCAGTGTAAAACTGTGGCATAAACATAAAAGATTGATTTTAAATTTATCTATAACAATTACTGTTTATCAACTTGTCTATAAATTAGAGATACATTGATAACTGAATGATGATGAGTTGTTTAATACTTAGCAAGTTGGTGCTAAACTTCGGCATCACGTATTTCCATAGAAAGTTAAGAGCCGATTGTAACTGACCCATATGCCGTTTGTCGTTGGCTATTTGTCATTGATTATCATATTCCAACAAAAGATCGAAGTTAGATGGTAACAAGACTAATAGTAGGGTTTAGACTGTTGTCTAACAAAAAATATTGAAAAAAAATGTTAATGACGTAGAAGAAGAGAAAATAATAAAAATGTTTCAGACGAATGTTTAAGTTTTATGGTTCTATAGTCTATGATTTTATGTAGCACAATTAATTAATATAATTCATTGTCACTTACTTTACTTAGTTTAAGAACTTGCTATAATTAGGTAACTTCATACTCTCCATCTAATTTAATTTAATTTTACAGCTATTTGATTTAGTCAGTTTACCTAAGAATTTAGTGACACTCTTATAGTTTCGGAGAAATAAGTTGTTTTCGTAATACTTAACCAAAACGTTATAAGGTAACAAAATACCAAATACTAAAAATCAAAATTTATGACGTTAGAAGTTTTTTAGTTTACCCATTGCTTGTTTAGGACTTAAGATCACTAGTTATTTATTTATTATTATTATTTATTAGATATTTGAATTATTTTTAGTTTTCCATTAGGTTATGTTCTAGTTTTTTTATTTAAAAGTCATATTGCCCTGGTAAGTAACAATAAAAATATTTTACAAAACCAAAAATACCTTTTTTAATGTTTTTAAAGTAAAGTTTTTCAATATGCCGCCATTTTGTTTCTACTAAGGTTAGGGAGTTGAAATTTTTCCAGAATATTTTTAGAACCTACTTTGTAAACTGTGTAAAGTTTCAAAAAGTTCGGTGCGTGAATAGGCGCGTAATATAAATTCAAACGTTTAAACCCCTTCGTGGGACACCCTATATAATCTGCAAATAATGCTCGGTGATGGTTTATAAATTAAAGTAATGTTTCTACAAACTTCCATGTGAGAACGAAACAAAGTTGGAGTCTAAAATAAGACAGAGATTTGGATAAACCATGGATTAACAAAATTACAACAGAGCTCGAAAATCTGGTTTAGACTAGAATTTATTATGAACAGGGATCAGAAATAGACCTTGCTCATATACCTTATAGAGTGTATTGTTGTTTCTTAACTTAATCCCAGTTACTACAAAGCATGTAAAACCTTACAAACGCAATACATTTATTAATTTAAAATCATGGTCCAAATTCAATACTTTAAAATGGGTTAATTTTTCTTCAAATCTTTGCTTAAACAAGTTTGTTTTTACAATCTGGGTTTGATAGGTAACAATGCATTATACATTACTGATTTTAGAAATAAATAATATAAGTTAACCAATTTTCAAAAGCTTCAACTAGGGATTTCGTAAGCCCACGGAAAGTGGCATGAAGGTTCTTTTATTTTTTAGAATAGGACAATAAGACTTAATCAGTTGATTGAGTTCATCTTTATCTGTAGCCTTATGCTCACCTGGTTGGTTTGGGCTTTCGATTACCACATATCCAGATACCCAAATACTTACATACCTAAATTCTCATATACCATCTTAATTGGTGTCAAATAATGTTATAATTAGTTATGTCTCAACAACGTTCAAAAGCAACAAAATAGGGACTATCTCCTTATAGCACTGCAAATAATTTTAATAGAACACAAATACGTAAAATTAATCCAATCGAATTTATTTTGTGTAAAATTGCAAGGCGCAGCAGTTCTTGAGTTTATTCGTAAAATAAATACTGGCAGAACACCCCCTCTCCTATGTGGGCTACTTTTGCGAATGGTAGGTTTTTTGGAAAGGAAAGCTACGTTTTGTACATTTTCTATAAAACTAGTGGATTTGTGCTTTCACCTGATGAAAACCAGCCTGATATATCGAAAAACTACAACATTTTGAAGTCTGGCCCACAAAAGATATCAAGAATGACACTGCTGGGTTTTCAGTAGAATGTGTACAAATGAATTCTAGGACAAACGGTCCAAATATTTGATTTTCTCAAATAGTATTCGTATTTAAGTGAATATTCCTCACAGAACCGAAGTCCGAGACACTAGCCACTAACTAATTAAGACGCTAACTATAGTCTGTTTGATTGAGACTGGCCAATAAAAGACCCGGACCAGTCCCTGACGAAGGGTGAGGAGACAGGTTCCAGGATACAGACTATAGCACCTCAGAGGTATAGACACAACAAAGACTAATACATTTATTCAACAATCATCTACTGCTCAGTCTTGCTGATAGCCATGGCAGGATACTTCTTCAGCAGTGTGACTTTGACATCATGAATCTCCTTGGCCTGCTGACGCTTCTGGACGTCGAAGGCCAAACGCTCGGTGGCGATCTTGTTCTTGATCTTCTGCTCCTCCAGTTTCAGCGAGCTCATCTCCCTCTCGTGGACGTCCTGGGTGCTCATGATGGCTTTGCGCGGGAGATCCTCGTAGCGCGATTTGGCGGGAACGACGGCGTACTCGTCTGCTTCAAGGTCGTCGTAACGTTCCCGGCGAGCTCGGTCACCTGTGCAAAATGACGTCAGTTAAGTAAAAGTTTTTAGGGGAAAATGACGAATTATTTGTTTTTGAAGGTGTTTTGTTGGAATAGTTTGATAGCTGGTTTTGGAATCATTGGACAGATTTTTTTTTGATAGGCAAGTATAGGTATGGGAGGAACAAAAACGAATTCTAAGAACTCATCAAGTCCCGAAGGAAGGTTATACTTTTTTTTAAACTATCACTACAAAAATTTTGGAAGTTCAATGCAGTTTTTATTTAATCAAATTAATATAGCTAAATTAGATCATTTTGCAAATTAACTCATTCGTAAGCAACAGTTTTATTCTGAATGGTACAGATTCACAATCTTGTTTATGTTAGGCAACAGTAACAATACTGGACAATTAAGCAAGGCTTAAGTAGTTTGGGCACGTAATAATAATTAAGGCTGAAAGAATGGGTAAAACTCGTCTCAAGAGATATCGATGACAATAAAAGAGTGTAAAGACTATGGAAGATTCCCTAAAGCTTAAAAAAAATTCAGTAAAGAAAAGAAGAAAGAAGGTAACAACAAACCGTATTCAACTCTTCTTAAAAAAAAAAAAAATATTATTGAAACGACATATTGTTTATTTCCTTTATTTGCATTAGTACAGCAAAATGTTAAGTCAACAATATTCCATGATTAGCAGACTGTTACCCTTAAATAAAAAAGTCTGCACTACAAAATATCTTGAGTTTTAATTAAGTGTCTATGTTAAATAGTGATGATTGTAAATAAAATGCAAAAACTTTTTAATTTTGATGTATGGCCAACATTAAGTTTTCAAATTCAAAATTTACAAGTGTAATGCTAAAATAAATTATATAGAATGTAAATTTACTGTATTCCCGCCGATCATAGTCCCTGTAGTTGTAGTTGTATTCATCACAATCACAATCGTTTGAGAAACTCCCTCCCATGTTTGAGGTTTCCGACACTACTGAACATTACGGTTAAAATTTTCGTATTTATCAACAAATTATATTAATCTTTCTAAAAATGCAAAGATCACATTTTATAGATAAGAAAAATCGGTTATGGATACATCATAGATAAGGTGGTGATTCACGTTTCGATGATTCATAATTATTGATAAGAAAATAGATTGCCTAAGTAATTTCGTAAATGTTGAGGTTGGATACAAAGTTTCGAACATTTAAAGAAAATTTGTTTTGCAATCGTGAGCTGCTTTTAAGCTGCCATATGGATAAACGGGTATTGCAGATAAATTGATTGTTTACAAGTAATTGATGATTTGCTCTGACCTTTAGTAAACAAGTAAAATAGAATCAACCATGTGGTTACACCCTAGTCGCATCCCCTACGGCTCTTGACGCCGACTCCAAGACACCCCCCGACTCCAAGTCACCCCTGAATCATTCCATGTTCCACACACGTACTTGGTATCGATGACAACCCCCTGAATGATCACTACTGCCTGATTGTCGAACAAAACTTAGCCGATTCGTCTATATTGTATGTAATCGGGAGTAGTTTATTTAGGGTAACATTATTTTTGGGGTTTTAACTGGTATGTTCTTCAATAAAATACAGCTGGTGAGCAAAGTGGATAGTTGCTTGGTGATCAAGAAGATTCCGTTAATATACTCTGTATGATTGAGCAAAGTCTCTTGGCCCTACCTGGGTACAGGACAATGGTTTAAGGCCTGGATCATTCCCAGTGGAGAGGTTCCATCACACAGACTATATGATGTCATTGGCTTTTCTGATTGTTCTAAACGAGACCCAACTGTCTTCAAACCAGCTGTTTTTGATTATTGGATTTGTGATGTAATATCCTGGCTTAGTCAGCTGATCTTAGAAAAGAAGCTATCCCAGCCATCAAAACTCCTTTACTTGCCATTTAAAATACTCACCCTTTTTGTCAGTGTCGAATGAATGTAATCTAATCGGGTTTGGACCATCATTTAATAGTATAATTTGATCACTAGGACGTAAAAAAGCGAGGGTTTAATAGAGAATAGACTTTTTTGCCCTTGTGATGAACTATGTTCCGTCATATTGTACCATTGTTTAAGCAAACCAAGCCACATAGCTAAAATGCGATTCATGTCAATAAGCTCCCAAAATGACTTACATCTTGCGAAAGTTTTGCGTCCCGAAACTCCAAAAAAGTCCTTAGATTAAATTAATGTAAATCAATGTATGAAAACTAAGGATATTTTGTATTTTTTTTCATCTTGTCCGTACAAAATCTAATAGTTTATTTCTTGGAATAAAACGTTAGTGCTATCCTAACTTAATTATACCTTTCAAAATTGATGATCAGTAAAAGATATTTTTTTTTTTATTGTATTAAATATATTTATTTGATTCTCAAATTTTGAGAAGTAGACTTTCTTAAATCACCTCATCCAAGAAAACTCAAATCCATAAAGCTCTCTCCGCTTATAGGATATCACAAAATATCTCTGGAAAGAAACGGGAGCTTCCACCAGACATTTCCAATCAAGACAACTAAGACAACAATAAAACATAATTCGTTCAGACCGGCTAGAAGATTTCAAGAAGAGTTTGTTATCCGAATCCTTACAGTGTCGATAAAGCATACACCTCGGGGAAGTGGACTACTTAGTAGAAATTTGATCGCGACTCACGTACAAACCCTTCCATCGATAGCGATACTTGATTGCTAGCAATAACCGAAATCTGTGAGGGCATTAGCTGAAACTGCGCCCCATCTTGAGCATCCCTTATGAATAATCCTGTAATTATTTTACATTTTTGTATTTCTAAAGCTTATGATTTTTTCCTTGTTTAGTCTGTGCTAAAAGATTACTGTAAGATATAACAATAGTTACAAATCATTATTTTATCTTAGTTTTAACCCATTTAGGTTATGAAATTGGACCCCTGCGCAAACTTTGCGTTTTAATAGGATCTAAATCTTGTTTCCTATCTATAAAATATAATGCTTTACTTTTAGCGAATTTCCCTATAGGGAAGTAGCTATTACCGTAGATGGCACGGTAAGACCTAGACCCGGGACCGATTTACTTTTTCATTTTGATGTCCCCAGAGGCCAAAAACACCATTCGTTAAAATTTATATATATATATATACGTCCGTGAACGCGATAACTTGAGTAATTTTTTTCCGAATTGATGAAATTTGGTTTAAAGGTGTAAAGCGGGATAAACTTGAATGAGTTCGCGAACCAGCATGATCGGACCATGGGAACGGGGTTTTACGGGAATTTTTATGGGGTAAAAATTGGTTTTTCTCACTTTTGACCCTCAAAACACAAAATTTCCCAATTTCTCTTCAGCCCATTTTAAAGAGCTTAAAAAACCAATATAATTTAGTATGTAAAAGCATTTTTGTTCGGTTATTGGTAACAGAGAAAATTTAAGAAATTGTAAATTTAAAATTCCCATGTTATTCTTATGGAGAATATTGTCAAATGTTGTAGTTTGCTTGTTTTGATAAAATATTTTTTGATAAAACTTGGCAAAGTTATTTATCTTAACTAAGCTATCAATATTTTATTAAAAAACACACTTTATTAGTTTCTTTGTAGCAGCAAACCTAGGTACTCATTAAACCTAATGTTATTTAAATATATTTAATTGAAAATCAATTCAGACAAATGGAAATTCGCTTAGTCGGCAGGTTTGCTGCGGCGGGGGTATTTTACCTTTCAAAGAGTATGTTTCTTTAAGACGTGTGAATATTTGACTAAATCTAATTTTCAAACACTGACTTATTGAGCAAAGTTAAAAGAACTAACAAACAGCTATTAGTAACAAATTTTTTTAATTACTCTTACTAAACTTTTAAGGCAATTTTCTTACCATAGTTATCACGTTCGTCATAGTATCGGTCCCGATTGTAGGCAGCCATTTTGTTTTCTGTGCGCTAGCAACCTCCAACAACTAGTTTCTGGAAAATCTTTCCAATCCAACTATTTTAACTGGTAATTAATCAACAATAATCAGCTGATAATTTCGTTATCATATGTTAGTAATGGATTTTAGGCTGATAAGGGATATTTTATCGGATAAAATATTTATTTTGTTTCAAAACATTATTTACTGAATATTCAAGAAAAAGAAAATAAATGTGTAAGCGATTATTATTGCACACACTATGGTTTAAATGACAATATTTTTTTTATAAGAGGTTAATTTACCTTAGTATCGTCTTGTGGAGGTAAATTAACCTCTTATTTATATGTTCAGTTACTCGAGACTACACAAAAATGATTTTTTTTAAGGTTGATATTAATTTTGGTATAAAGTAAGGTACAGACTAAGAGTTAATTAAACGTACACCTGAGTAAATTATTTTGCATTACAGTAACAATAATCCAAATTTATACAAAGACATACTGTGTCAATAATTTTTCATTTTAATTAAACTTTAAAAGCCTGCAATAAAATAAAGTAATCAACTAAAATTGCAAGAAGGAATGTCCTATTAATCTCCATTTTATGCACCATTTAATATTCTTCTTGACCCTAAAAACATAACATTTTGAAATTTCTTTCCAAAGCTGTTTTGTAGAGCAAAAGAAATAATTTAGTAATTTGAAGCATTGTTATATGCTTAACAGTTACGGAGAAAATTACAAAAACGTGTAAATTAAAAATCCCCATGTTATTCTTAGGGAGAATAAATAAACTGTTGTAAGTTTGCTTGTACGTATATATATTAGGCCGAATGAAATTTGGAAAATTTGTTAATTTTATACTTAGCTATCAATATACAAAAAAACTTTATTGTCTTCCTTGTAGCAGCAAACCTGAGTACTGTACTCATTAAAATTAATGTTATATAAATAAGAAATAAACATTACAATTCGAAGGGAATATTTTAGTGCAAATCCAGATAGGTAAATGGAAATTGGCTTAGTATGCAGGTTTGCTGTAGCAGGGGTATTAATTGCATAGACTTTTTCATTGCCATCGAGATTTCAAACCATACACACCAATCTTAAACATATGTTTATAGAAACATTTGTTTGGCCGAACTATACAGTTATGCTGTATAACTTGTTGATGAACAGGTGCTTGCTCCATGCTAATTTTTTCTTAAAAGTTTTACTTATTGTTCTTAAAATGAGTTATGTTTCAATGTTCTGTATAATTTATTATTTAATTCTAATAATAACATATTTGTTATATTCATAGAACCTAAACATGTTGCAAACAAAATTCTACGTTTTCACTTCGATAACCACGCCATAGAAATGTTGAGGCAATACTTTAAATTCTTGCGAGATACAACAATTTGTAATCTGTCTAATAAATAATAATTGAGAACAGTAGCAGTGAGATTGGGAAAATAGCTCAGTATACAGTTTTGTTTTGAAAGACGTTGTTATCCGACAAAGTCTGAAAATAGTGAGAGAGCTTTTCGAAATGCTTGGATGGTTTAGGAGACGTCGCTATTATGACGACTATGATGATTATGGTACTGTTCTGCATTTACTTACGAATAATTTTATAACACGAAATTAAATTTAGATTAAAATGTAGCACAATATAACGTCAAAAATAGATTGTCAAGCTATATTTTAGGCATGTTATAAATAAGTTAAAAATATTATAAGACAATATTGTGTTACAAAAGTAAACTTGAAACCTTTTTATCACAGAAAACATACTACTATAACCTACTATAAGGTTATAGTAGTATGTTTTCTGTGTTTTTTATCTAGAAGGTTATAGCATACTTCTCAAACTCAAGTGCAACATTTAAACATAAACTAAGATTGTAACTTAAAACATTCACTTGAAAAGAGAGCTTATATTCTGAAATAATAATAATAAACGAGACAAAATACTGTGCGAAATCACGTAATGCATTCACATATCAATATTTAAGGATTTTATTGTTTTTTGTCCATATATGGATTACATTATGAAGGTTTTAACAACGCTGATTCAAAATTAACATAGGTCTACTGTGCTTCCATTGTTAGAAAAAGGTATTAAAAAATTTAAAATGTCATGCGTGAACTTAACAAATGGAAAAAAGGAACAGTCTCTCATGTCAGTTCTTCTCATGAATCCGTAAAACATATGCGCCGTCCAAAAGTTTCTGGCAGCGGTGGGATTCGAACCCACGCCTCCGAAGAGACTGGTGCCTTAAACCAGCGCCTTAGACCGCTCGGCCACGCTACCACTATGTCCAATGGAAACTGTTGTCACCTCACGGTATTTTGGAATATGTTTCTCGTAAGCAGGAATGAAAATCAAATTCTTGTAAATAAAAATAAAAATCTTGTACCTCGGGTAATGGTTTCATAAACATAGAATATTCTCCTCGACGAAATTAATAAATGACATAAATACACATACAGTTCATGACATGTTGTTCTAATAATTATTTTTCTTGCATACATTGTGTATAGTTTGAAAAAATCTGAGTAATTCAGTAAAGGTATTTACTATATTGCATTTATGTTAGTTCTAAAATCATGTATTAAAGTGTATGTCCTATTAGTATACGAATATTTCCTGGATATTTGTGCGGTGATAAAAAATTTCTGCTCTCTTCTTTTTCGCGTTTACCGCACTCGAGATATTCAATCCAAAATTAAATAAAACATTAAGCACGAAAGTTCGGCAAAAACACTTGTAATGCTCAGGTTCCTTTTCACTTTGGTTGAGAAATCTTGTATTTGCTAATGCGATGGAAATGAATAAAAAGACGACGGAATAACCAATGAACTGTACCCTAACGCTGTGGCAAAACAGTTGTTGGATAGACGGTACCTATAACATCTGCAGCGTAGCGAACCTAGTTGTGGAACGCGAGGCTTTGGTCCCCGAGGTAGGTTCAAATCACGCCAATTACGAATGTATTTTAGCAATACAGTATAATGCTGCGAACCTCTAAGCTAAGCCAGAAGTAATGTGTTAAAACGGTCCCAGGCTAAATCCTAGCATTATAGGATATGAAGGTACGACATATATTAAATTGACACACCCCTGATTCACAGATGATGACCTATACTACGATGACCTTGATGACTATGACATGGACCGCCCCCGTCGTCGACCTAGGTGTCGTCACCAACGCCAAGGATCCACCTGGGGAACCATAATCTCCATCATTCTCCTCTTCCTTATGTTTCCCTTCTCCCTCTTCTCCTCGCCATTTTCCTTCTTCTCCCCTGGAATATCGTTCATGGTAAGTGCTTTTTGTAGGATTCTACTATTGATATGTGTCATGGAGTAAGATTTGACCCAACCTATTTTCTTGGGTTTGACAAATAGGCTTGTATAAAGTACGGGCAAATTTAAGTGATAACAACGTCCTATCTCATGCATTAGACATTCATTGTAGGGATCTTAATTAGTGAATTAACGATTTAAATTTTAAAATTAAGATGAAAATAATTATTTTTCAATTAACACGATCATACAAGGCATCGTCACAGTTTGTGGTAAATACAAGTTATTAAAACTTACCTTAATTTCGTTCTTCTATACATAAGCATATACTGTACTCCTTAGATTTCAAACTACGTATATTAGAACTATCAATCATTTTAGACTCTAGATTGTTTATATAAATTAGGATCACTAAGACAGACCTCATCATACCTTTATTTAACAAACACATGACTATACTAAACAATTATTAAATGCATATACATTATATAGTCCTCACTGGAAATTTAATTTTTAATGGGTAAGCTATATTTTTTTAGAAACTGATGAGGAAAATTTCCATCATGAGTAGTAAAAACAAAGTATTCACGACGAGAAAATATATAACAAGATTAGAAAACAAACCCAGCTTCGGCTGGAAAATACTATTAAAAACCACATATAGAACTGTATTGTAGTAAACAAATCCATATGGAATATTTTCCAATGCTTTGTGTAATGTGAAAACTGTGTTATAACTAACCGTCCCAGCAAATTTCCAGAATTTATTAAATATTTTATTTTTAACCAAGCAGAAAGAATGTTTTGTCACCGAGTAACTCTAGTAATCAAAACAAAACAAAATAAAATAAAAACATGGTAAAAGTAACTTAAAACAGATCGTTAATTGAGTCATGCTCGCACACTTGTTATCTGTGTTATCATATGAAGGTCAATGACATTTAACTTTTAAATGTGCATGTTATCAATGAACAGTTCCACACCTAACTGATACCCGTTTTTCTTCGATAAAACTTCCTTATTAGCAAATTAAAATTCTATGATACATTTTACACATTAACATATTTTAAATAAATTTTACTACACGTAAAACAATAATAGAAATTATTTTAATGACAATTATTTTCATGTAATGTTTTATAAGTTTACAGTGTCTTAGTTGAAAATGTTTAATTTCATTTAATGTTTGTTTCAGGTTGCTCTGTAAACTAAGAAATTTTACTTGATATCAGGAGGAATAAAGAATTTTTTGTATTTCTGTTTTCGAGAAATAATAGACCTATGAATTTTGTAGCGAATAAATTATTTATAAGGTTGTAAACTTATTTGGTCCTTATAGTTCAAACCTGTTGGCAAATAGTGTAAAGAATAAATGTAAGAAAACTATAATTAGGTACACGAGTTTTTCCTCAGTTTATTCAAATGTTAGATATAAAACTAAATCGGATTTTTCTACAACTTTCTTGTCTGTAGTCAAACTACCGGCTAAAGAGCTACTAACATTGGTGGATGGTCCAGCCATTATGTCCGTGACTGTTTAATGGCGTTGTTAAACTTAATGTGATTGAAAGTGGGCATTTTGATTTGCTCGTAAAACTGCCCTTTGTTGGGGAGGGACTTTTATTGTTGCACCCGAAAAGGCTGTACGTGATTACTCAGAGCCAGCTTTGCAAAATGTTACATATAACCATAAATAAAAAGAATTAAATATAGACCGTCAGCCGTGCTGCGGTTACCATCTTTACCATAGGTTCTGGCGCACACCACTGGGAGCACCGTGTAGTTACGTAGCGCATG